AAGCCCCCCCCGGTTCAAGCTGGCGCCCCGCTGCTCCCCTTTTTACTGAATTCATCTGCTTCATCTCTTCAGTGCCAGAGAGCTTCCTCTTTCTTTAGATGTTTTCTATGGTCACGTCAGGGAAGGGGCGACTTTGTGGGGACGTCAGAGCCAGAGGGCAGAGAACAGCATGCAATACCACCTGCTTGCACGGGGAGGTTGAAGCCCTGGGTATATCAGCTGTGTCCTGAAATATCTGCCGTCTGTTCCGCTACATCACTGATTGTGACTGAGTGGCCAAGGGAAAGGAAACGTTTGCATTCACACTCCCAGTAATTTGGGAAAGAGCACCCAGTGCCAGATTCACCTCTGTACCCAGGTATCCAGCCACGAGAGCTGGAGTTCAGGTAGCAGAGGCCTCTATTGCTCTGTGAGCGGACCTTAACCGTCCTGACAGGGTTGTGGGATCAGTGCCTTCCTGATCCCCCTTCCACGAGGGGAATTGGAGGGCAGCCTGTCTCTTTCTTTATGCTTCTGTAAAGTAATGTGGTTATGTACCCCAAAACATCCTCTGTGTGTGCTGTTACTGCAGTGTCCTTTATCCCTGTTCCTCCCAGCCAAGTGACTGGGCTCGGGCGTGATCAGAAGTAGGTCTCAATGGAGATCTTTAATGTTGGAAAATAAAACAAGGAATTTATTTTTCCAAACGTAATAAGCCAAACAGGTAAAGTAGGATATAATAGGTAAATTAGATACAGTAGTATATGACCTACTGGTAACATTTCCCTTTAAGGTCAGAAGCCTTTTCCCCTTTTCTGAGCTGGTCATTTCAGTCAGCCTCACACTTGGGCAGGGTTGCGGTGGCCATCTTAGATTCTCCCACTGGACTGACATTAGGGGACAAAACAACAGCCTCCAACACCCATCAAACTTCAAGAATTAGGGAACAATACCGTGGTTTGTGGGGAAAAAGCTGAAGGTAAGTAGCACTCACCCCTCCTATGCACCTTCACAGGAAGGGAGCAGGAAGTCTTGGTGTGCTTCATCACATCACCTTATGTAAATGTAAAGAAAGAGACACATCCCTGTCACAGGTAGCGGTCTGAGTTTTGAAAGCAGAGGGTTATTTGTGATTTTCATTTCATAGCTGTAACTTTTCTCGTAATTAGTATTTTTTTCCTTACATATTTATCCAACATGAAAATAATAATTGTTAAAAGTGGCTGAGGTTAAAAGACGTTGGCATGCGCCGTTGACTGTTCTGTAGTGTTGATGTTCCTGAGGATTCTGCCATTGTGGTGTGTTTCCTGGATGTTGCATGCCTGTCTCCTAGCAATTGAGGGTATCATCAGACTGGGAATCAGTGTCTCTTGTTCTCTTTGTGTAAGGTTGTTGTCATTTATACATTTCCTATCAAACAGCTGTGTTCAAGCTACTTTGCGGATACAGAATAATCACTATTTTGTCAAGTTATTAGACT